AGGACACTTTTGGAGACTAATATTTTGGTGTAGAAACAAATGTTCGATATTCTTTTGTTTTCGAGATATCCGAGGTAACTTTTGTTTTTCTTATAACAGTCATACTGGATTCAATCTGAATCCAGTATGACTCTTTTAGGCGCAATCTGAAAAATGATTTTCAGATTGAGCTTAAAAAGAGCTTTCAAAAAATGTATATCACGTGGAGAAAAATTGTTTTTCAAGGGACTAATTTAAGAAAAGTTATCCATTGCTTAACAAAACAAAACAGTAGGCCATGGAAAATCAAAAAGTTATTTTGATTTCATGGATATAAAAAGTAACAGTAATATTAAGAGTTTCGTCTGCAACCTGAAAAACATGAATTTCTAACCATTTGTAACCTAATCTAACCTAACCTAACCAGATGACTGACATTATTTGAGAAGATATGAATATGAAATTTAGAGGACATATAGATAAATGTTCAATCTGTGTCACTGTGCGGCATCTGTAGAAAAAATTTTTCAAAATTTCAAAATATGAAAAATAAAAAACTAAAAACAGTGACAAGAAAATTACATTCACCACCAAAGAACATTTTTTTTAAATTATTTTCAACTAAAATATTTTTAATTGCCTGGCTCTTTTTCCGATTTTGGTATACACGGAGCAGGCGCCCTCTACAGTATAGTCGTGCGTCGACTCTACGTGTATTCAGTGTGATTTATGGCCCCGTTTACTAGTGTATTCTAGTAAAAACATTAACAGTACAATATTCAAAAATGCCATATGAATTAATTGATGCCATTCATACAGGAGTACTTAATGCAACAGTATTCAATAAAAAAAGAAAACGTCATCGTAAATATATTTTATTATGTATGTACAAGGTAAGTCACATAAAATGTTCTCATTTTGTCGTTAACTATAAAAATATTTTCTAGTGGTTTTTATGGAATTTTTGTGTAGATTTTAAATCTGAGCCCAAATTTAAAATTTAAGTGAGAATATACAGGTTTATCAAAAATATACAGGGTGAGTCACCAAGGGCGCCTCGGTCGATATCTCCTTTAATATTTATTATACAGAAAACAGTTTCAAATAAAAGTTGTAGGAGGCCAAGAGTACCATATTTTAAAATTATTTATAATCACACAGGGTGTTTGATGTTAGAGTGGCATATCAAAAGTATGTTTTTTTAAATAGGACACCCTATATATTTTTGCAAATTCTTATTCTTTCTTTAATTGCCTTTTCGAATATATCTTGTTTTTGAAATTCTGTTGTGGCGATGTCGAATTATTCAACTGTTTTCAAAAAAATTGTCACTTGCAGACCTCACTAAATAAATTCTGCATGAGCGGTATTTTCACAGATCAAGCAAACTTTTTTTGTTAAATGTTAAGCAATTCCATGGCCTAGCATCCAGATATTTTAAAGTTGAAATTATTTGTACAGGGTGTTTATTACGATGATATAAAAATGGCTAAATTTTATCTATCATAACTTAATTTTTTTAAATAGAACACCCCGTATATTTTTACATATTTGGATACAGTTTTTGTCGCTCTACAATTTTTACTAAACTATAGTTATACCTAAAACCAACGGTTTCCAGTGAAACTGCATTCTAATAAAAACATCAGGTAATTTCTAAAAATTCGGATATCATAGGAGGCATGGCACGTGTTTTTTTTTTTGTTTCTGCAAGAAGGAACTACGAATATGAAACAATTTATTTATAACAAAACGGTAAATACAATTTTTTTAGTTGTATCTAGTTCATAAGATGTTCAATGTGTCCTCCATTTTTTTGCACGCATAATCTTAGACAACTCAAAAAAGACTGGCTAACATTTCTTAATTTCTGAACATTAGTTTCTTGAAATGCAGCTCTAATTCTCTCCTTCATATTTTCAGCTGTAGTTGGAGCAGTTTTATAAACGGTCTCTTTTACATAACCCCACATAAAATAATCTAATTTTGTTAGGTCTGGTGACCTAGGTGGCCAACAAATTCGCCCACCTCTACCAATCCACTTATCTGATTATTGTTTATTCAAATAGTTGCGTACTTGCGCACTGTAGTGGGCTGGCGCCCCATCATGCTGCAGCGATAACCTTCGTATTGTAGCTAATGGTAAATTTTCCAACAAATCTGGTAGACTATTTCTTAAAAAGTTTTCTCCATTTATTCTGCCTTCAAAAAAATATGGCCCAATTACATATCCCCCTATAATTCCACCCCAAACCTTTAATGACCACCTATGTTGATGGTCAATACTCCGTCTGAAATGGGGATTTTCTGTAGAATAATAGTGCAGATTGTACCTATTAACATTTCCGTTTTCATGGAACGTAGCCTCGTCGGAAAACAACACGTATTCGAAAAAATCCGGTTGCTCTCGCACTTTCTGAATTGCCCATTCACAAAATTCTCGTCTCTTAATAAAATCATTAGCTTCTAGTTCTTGCAATAATTGGATATGATAAGGGTGAAACTTATTTTCTTTTATAATCTTTGCGATACTGGATTGACATATCCAATTCCCTACTTAAAATTCTTGAACTTACATGTGGATTTTCTACGAGGCTTAGCACAACAGATAATGTGTTTTCTTCATTCTGGTTTAATTCGCTTCGGCTTCTTAAACATAACTTTTCCGCTTTCATCGAATTTAGTTTTTAATTTTGTAAAAGCGCAACAATTCGGATGTCTTTGGTCTGGATATTTTTGACCATCTAGAGGCCAACAAACAATAATTACCATAACTCTCCCCGATACAGTAAATCATATTAATTTTTTTTTGCTTAGAAAAATTCACTTTAAATACTTATTTAAGAAGAAATTAATGTAATAATAGTCTCCAAATTAAAAGCGTTTCAAATTTGTTTCAAACAAATGTCAGTGATAAATGCCATCTAGATATTTGGAATATTCACACAGTTCAAGTATTTAAATGTAGAATAACAAGACAACTTTCTTTTCATTTATAAAAGATGAAACTTACATTAATCGAAACAATAATGCTCATAGTTGTTTCTTGCAAAAACAAAAAAAAACGTGCCAATGCCTCCTATGACATCCGAATTTCTAGAAATTACCTGATGTTTTTATTAGAATGCAGTTTCACTGGAAACTGTTGGTTTTAGGTATAACTATAGGTTAATAAAAATTGTAGAGCGACAAAAACTATCCAAATATGTAAAAATATATGGGGTGTTCCATTTAAAAAAATGAAGTTATGATAGATTAAAGTTAACCATTTCTGTATCATCGTAATAAGCACCCTGTACAAATAATTTCAACTTTAAAATATCTGGAGGCTAGGCCATGGCATTGCTTAACATTTAACAAAAAAAAGTTTGCTTGATCTGTGAAAATACCGCTCATGCAGAATTTATTAGTGAGGTCTGCAAGTGACAATTTTTTTGAAAACAGTTGAATAATTCGACAACGCCACAACAGAATTTCAAAAACAAGATATATTCGAAAAGGCAATTAAAGAAAGAATAAGAATTTGCAAAAATATATAGGGTGTCCTATTTAAAAAAACATACTTTTGATATGCCACTCTAACATCAAACACCCTGTGTGATTATAAATAATTTTAAAATATGGTACTCTTGGCCTCCTACAACTTTTATTTGAAACTTTTTTCTGTATAATAAATATTAAAGGAGATATCGACCGAGGCGCCCTTGGTGACTCACCCTGTATATATTAAATTTCACACTGTGCATTTTTTGACAATTTGACAGCGTCAGTTGAGTCGATTTTAAAAATATATAGCTGTAATATATTTGCTTCATAAATAAAGTAAGTACTACTAAAAGAATGATAAAATTTTATAATTATTATATATTTCCTTTATTTTTTATTTAATTTTATTTTCATTTTATTTGTAATTTTATCTATAGAAATTGTTATTTGAGACCTAAATGATACAAATCTTGCTTGAATTATTATAAAATTTCTTTTATAAGTAGCTATCTGCCTTATTTTTGACGCAAATATATTACATTTACATATTTTTGGAATAGCCTCAATGAGCTCTGTCAATTTATCAAAAAATATATAGGTGTGCCATTTACAAAAAACATGTTTGATTAACTTTTGCATTTTTAGTTAAATTTTATATTTGAGCTCAAATTTAAAACACCAAATTCCATCATAAGATGGCTTCTTATACAACTATAAAATATTTTTAGAATTAATAATAAAATGAGAAGGGGCATATTTCATGTTCCTTACCTTGTACCTTTGTGATTACTGTTCTCAGTGACAGAAAAATAATTGACTTTTGTCTATTTAGGGCACACGATTCCAAAATCTACAGTCATTAACCCTGAGCGAATGTGAGGAGTGTTTATGGGAAATTCAGTAGTGTTCCTCCTATGTGATATCGGAGACCACGGAAGGACATTCCAAATTGCGCTTGCGCAAAAAAAAATAAAAAGTAAAGTTTATTCTTATTCTAAATACAAATTTATTATAAAATTCTATAAATAAAAAGTAGACTGAACACACCTCATTGAAATTTGATTAACTTACGTTGACTAGTTTTAAAGATTTGCTAAGTTAAAAATGTTCCTTTTTTTAAGAACATTTTGACGATACCAGTTTATAATCCGGATAGTCTCGGAAAATGTGCAACCTACCTAAATAAAATTTATGTTATCAATAAAATACAGCTTTCTTCATAATTTTTCATTTTAAAATTTCGGAGTTGTCAAAAAAGTGACCATGCTCATTCAGTTATTTTTCAAGATATTTAAATTTTGGTAAAATTATTTATTACAAAAAATGTAAACATTTTCAGGAAAAAGATTTTGAAAATATCAAATACTAATTGAGTTATCAATCGCGACTATATAAATATTGCTTTATTTAGCTGTTTGAAAGGCTGTAATTAATTAACCCTTCATATTTTTTAAAACGTTTTTTCGGGATAATTGTTTATTTGATTGTAAGTTAATGTTTTAAAAAGAATCTTCCAAGATAACTGTGATAAGTGTGGCTTCGTGGTCCAGTGGTGAGGACACTGCCTCTCACCCTGGAGTCCCGAGTTGGAACCCCGGTCGAGGAGCTATGATTAGAGCTGGCATTTTGCTGTAAATACATGTGTGTGGGTCTATTTCTTAGGCATTTAAATAGTCATCTCAGATGCGATATCTGCCACCTGGCAGACCGATGCCCAGGGAAACTCAAAAACAAAAAAAACTTTTGAAAAATCTTTAAAAGGTCGAATAGATGTTAAATATGTAAAGCATAAACTGACAAAACCAAAGAGTCCTCGTGAAGGGATGTAGATATCGAAAAAATAAATAAATAAACACCCCCAAATACTCCTTGTCGACTTTGGTAGCCTACTATCCTCTACAAAAGTCTCAGCCCTTTTGGATGAAAAATAAAAAAAGATTTCAAAAATTCTTTAAAAGATTGATTAGATGTTAAATATGTAAAGCATACACTGACAAAACAAAAAATCCTTATAACTCGTGAATGAATACAAATATCGAAATAGGAAATGAAGAAACAGCCCTACACCCTCTGTCGATTTTGCCTACTACCATATTCAAAAGTCTCAATCCTTTTGAACAAAAAAAAGCATTAGGAGATTGATGTTAAAAACACAGAGCATACGAACACACGAGCTAATGGCCAATCTGTTTGTGAATATTTCATCAAATTTACGTAAAAGTCGTATCTGGAATTTATCGCTTCTTCCCCATCTGTAATTATAACTTATACGCAGTTGCTTATTTACGGCGCCCACGCCCATGATAATATTCTCAAGAAACCAGCCTTAGCTAGGATTTTTTCTACACCAAAAATTAATCCTAGCATACTCGGACGTTGGGTGTGTATCTGCAGTTTTTAAATGTGTAGTCCTCTCCCACACAAGATACCTTGAGATACCTTCAGGGATACAGGGGGTTGTATTACCTGTGGTATTTAATTTTAATTTTAAATTAACTGAATAGATACGGCGGCACATTTTTGTAAATATACGAAGGTTTTGGGCAAAAAAAATTGGACAAAATTACCACATATAAAAAAGATATTTCAAATCACTACAAAATTTCACATAAAACTAATAACTAATCAGTGGTTTCCGAAAAAAGACCATTTAAAGTTTAGTATGATAAGGGTACTGTTAAAAATGGGTACATTTTTTGGCATAAATTAAAAAATTTAAGTCCATTAAATTTTAGTGAGCGGTTTACAATAGACACAATGAATAGGTACCTAGATTATAGTTTACTTCAAACCTAAAGTGAGTGCCCAATACATTTGAAACGTATAAATACACCAGAACTTCAATGTAACTGACATGAAATACCAAGAAAATAATGATACTCTCTCATTACTGATAGGTTACTACCAATAAGTGTAGTAAGTTTTATTATGAAAACACCAAAAATGATAGGATTTTTAAGATAATAATCATAGCGGTACTACTTGACAAACATATTGTGGTAATGAGTAAAAGATACGCAAAAGCCAGAATTGTTTAGAATGGGGACCGTCATTCACATAATGTTTGTATTAGTGTTTACATCGGTACACTATTGCAAAAAGTAACTTTCAGAAAATTGTTGTATTCTGTAATATTTACCACGTAGTACAATCCTTAATTACGCACATTAAATCGAATTAACTCGACCGCTATTTTAAATTATTATTTGTAAAATGACACAAGGGATCCGGCTAGAAAATTGTTGTCATAATTTACGATATTTATTCTTCGTCACTGTAAAACCCATTTTTTTAGGAACACTTATTTTCAATCTAGGCTTTTTTTTTCTCTTTTTTATAATCCATGTTCTCACTTTTGATTAATTCACAAAATGGTATGTACACAATTAATAATGATTCTCTCACGATAATCGTGAATTTACAATAAATCATCATAAACTCGAATCCAACCTTGAGCAAAATTTAAAGCTAATAGCATGTGACATTGACCAATAGCGAAACACCAGCTAGGTGGTAAGGTCCACCTCCCGGTACAGTGTTTTTATCATAATTTAGCGACATAGTGATTATGTGCTTTGAAGATGGAACTCTTAAGGTTACCAGTTTGACATCTTTAAATAATTTTATGTTAAAATACTGAACATAATTGATATGGAGAAAATTTTTTAATAACAGCAAATTAACATAATAGAAGAGATGATAGTAAAGATTTAATAAAACTGTTCAATATGACCTCCATTTAGTTGAATACATTTTAGGCATCTACACCTAACTGGGCTGATTACTCTTCTGAGAGTATTGGCATTTATTGTGCCGAAAACGTCCCTAACTCTGTCTTCCAAAATATCGATAGTTTCTGGGCTTTCAAAATCATACACTTCAGTTTACACCGTACTCCACAAATAAAAATCAGGAGGGGTTATATCAGGCGAGCGGGAAGGGCACAATACTGGTCCTCTATTTGAAATTATGCAGTTACCAAAATTTTCCTGCAATATCTGTCTAACATTATTAGTATTATGTGCAGGACAGCCATCTTGTTGGAACCACAATTCGCTTAATTCTTGTTCTGTAAAAAGCTGTCTTATCTTGGGTAAAACTTGATTTTCTACAAGTTCACGATAGGCTGCTCCCGTTAAACTGTTGTGAAAAATAAATGGATCAATTAAATGGTGAACTAAATTAACAATTAAGGAAATGGTTATAGACAGATCATAGGAGTAGAATAGGAAGAGAAAAGGTAATACCTATCATGCCGCAGCAAACATTGATTCCAAACCTAGTTTGGTTTAGTGTCCTAATAATGTAAAAGTCTAAAACCTGTCTGACCAAGGATTACTTGGCTACAGTCAAAAAGAGAAATCATAAAATTTTTGTTTTTTTTTTAAATCTCAAAAACGGTTTCAGTTAGCCGTGATTTCTTAAAGGATTTGGAATCAGCATAAAATTTTCTAAAACATATCCCATTTAACCGACCTTGTACCTCTTACCGTTTCCAAGATTCCAATGGTGAACATCGAATTTGGGACACACGGTATATTTCAATATTTCAAACCAATTACCTAACTCATGTCAAGAAGAATAAGCCATCATAAGGTTAACATATTATTAACATGTAGAAAGGATAAACAATATATAGAATTTTTATGTTAATAAAAATATGTGAATCTTAAATAATTTGTTAAAATTTCAAATATAAGCAAATAATATTACTCTGATGATAGTTTATTCACTATTTCTTGTCCCCTAGATTTATTTTTTCAATAAATAATCTGGTTTTATAAATACAGGTGCATACATCTGACTCTGACGGATTCGGTCCCATTTTTACTCTAATATCATCATTACAGTCCATTACACATCTTTGGAGTTTATTTTGTAATTGTTCCAACTCTTTCTGAACATATGACTGCGCCCAGTTTAGCTTTACAGAACAGTTTTCTACACATCTCTGAACTCTTTCCAAAGAAACTTCCTTATTTTCGCAACACTGCGCAGCACATCTATGCATGTCAGCCTTTTTCATAAAACATATTCAAACAGGTTATTAGTAAATATTTAACTATGAATTATAAATTAATTCATATTATACAATTATAATAATTAAGTCCATTTTCCTTGGAACTCTTAAAGGTTTAATTTTTCATTTACCATTTTTCACAATTATTTTTGTCTGTCGATACATTATGAATTAATAATGGCCTTTTCTTTAAAAAAAAATCATCTACTCGCATCAATAGCCATTGTTATTATTGTTATTTTATAAAAAACTTTTATACACTTAATTCCAACAAAATCAGTTAAAAAAATTTTCAAGTAATGTAATATTATCATGAACTAAAATATTAAAATAGTGCCACCAAACTGTTAATATCAATGTCAGATTTTAAAATCATCAGTGTAATTAGATAATCTCTCCGCCATCCTGCAAGTTCAAATTCCGTCACTGGCACCGGCAATGTCGGTGGTAATGATTGTGTCCGCTTTTTTTCATAAAGGTAAATGTAGCCCTCGCCTGTGCAGCCTCGGCTCTGAATTTGGAGGTGTCTAGTTTTTGTGGTGTTTATTTATTATTTATTTATTTACTTATTTTATAACAATCGATATCTCTAAAATCATATTCAAATTTTTTTAAGTTATAGGTATAGTCTAACATAGAGTAAATTATACATAGATAGTCCATCCTTACATAAATGGTGCAGCCTCGGCTCTGAATTTGGAGGTGTCTAGTTTTTGTGGTGTTTATTTATTATTTATTTATTTACTTATTTTATAACAATCGATATCTCTAAAATCATATTCAAATTTTTTTAAGTTATAGGTATAGTCTAACATAGAGTAAATTATACATAGATAGTCCATCCTTACATAAATATTTCTCACTCCAAATCTTGAACCCTTAACTTCTATATTGACACAAATAACGCCTATTTACGATATTGTCATTTTTGATATAGCAAATGACTACACATGGTTTATTATAACATTTACACCTTCTAAACTAGCAAAATCCTATATAGGCACTGCTCACAATGATGTAATCATTTTCAGGTCCAGATTTTAGAGACAAATTTTAACATGGAATGCCCTATGTATATTTAATCTGAGTCTAATTATGAATTTAAAGAGTAGTTTTCTAATAAAAGTATCGGACAAATTTTTTTTCAGGCTGATATTTGGTTCACTAAACACAATTGAAGTAGCAACATCTGAGAACATAATTATACAGGGTGTCTCACTTAAAATTCCCGGTGCCATTTTTTCGACAACTAAAAGCGATATCAGAATTCCGTAAAAGGCATCCACTAGAATATATTAAATGACTTCAGGTTTGAGTAAAATCGGTCTTTCTCTACATTGAGGTATAGATGGCGTTGTGATGGAAACAAAACTGTTCAATCCCAGGAACCTTGAAAGATGTGCACGTGACAGGATATTAAATTCTAAGCAACTTTTATGATGCACATAGTTTTCGAAAAATTACTGGTTTTCAGGATATTTGAACTTAAAATATAATTTTTTTTTAAGTAACAAAAATCGCCATAACTTTTTTTAACATAAATTTTAGATGATAGGTCCTTTGGGACGTTTTTTTATAGTAAATCAGAC